GATTCACAAAAATTTCAATTTTTACAAAATGTTTAAAACATTTATTTATCATAAATTCAAAAATTCATTCAATCTGTTATCGCAAATTCGATTTTAATATTTTAAAATAATAATTAATATAAAACTAATTGATATCTTTGTTAATCAAAATAATGAACAACATTATTCAATTGAACATTGTTTATTTTATTTGTTTAAATTATTATTAAAAATTTATAAATTCATTAATAATAAATTGATTTCGATTGTTTCTTTTTTTATATAATCAAATAAAAAAATTTTGAAATTTTTAAAAATGACATTTAAAATGTTTGATAAATATAATAAATATCACACATTTTATATGTTTTTTCAAAACATGTTTTCGCATATAAGACTTTGATTTTTTTATTTTAAAATGTACGAGATTTATTTTAAAAATAATATTTGAAATTTTAAATAAAAATCATATATTAATGAAAATCTTTGTTTATGTATATAATTGATTTTTTTATTCTAAAATCTTTTTTTATTGTTTTTTTATCTATTTTTTCAAATAAATAAATAATTATAATTTATAATGTTTGAATCACATTAAATTTTATAATTATTTTAACAAAATCTCAAAACTCAATTAAATATTTTTGAATTTTAAAAAAATCATCTTAATTTATCAATTTAATTTAAAAATCAATCAAATAAATGACATTAATTATTATCAATATAAAAAAAAGAAATTCAATTATAAATTAAATAAAAAATTTTAACATATAGAATGTCTTTATTTATCGTGTATTTATTTGTTTAATAACACTTTGAAATATAAAAAATAGTAATTAAAACTTATAAAAAAAATTCTGCAAAAAAATAAATTTTTATTCAAACATTTAATTTTTTAATTAAAAATATCAAATACATCAAAATAATCTTTAATACATTACAATCTAAATGTAAAAATAAATACAAATACAACAAAAAAAACATTCATTAATTAAAAAAAATTAATCGCTTGATTTTTTGAACGATCAATCGATCAAATCACTATATAAAAAAGATGTGCAACTGCTGATTTCATTATTTGAACCATTTGACCAAACCGCAAAGGCCTCGGAGACTTCGACATCGCCGTTCCAAAGGCTTCCGGTGACAATATGTGCGATTTTTTCAAATAAAACAAATTTTGAATTCAAAATTGATATTTCATTTTTTTAAATATATTATAAAAAAATGCAATTTTTAAATTTTATTATTTTAAATTTATATTCAAATCTAAAAAATCAACAATTAATGTTTGAAATTGCATTTCATACAAAAAAAATTTAAATTAAAAATTTTGTTACAAATCATCATATAAAACATTTTTATTATCACAACAAGATTATAAATGAACTTGCATATTTTTATTGTAAAACAATTATTAAATTTTATAAAAATGCAATTTAATAAAAAAATAATATTAAATATTACACAACGATCGTTGTTAAAAATTACAAAAAATTTATAAAAATGCAATAAATACAATAATCTATTTTATTGTTCGATCTCAATTTTATTAAAAATTATAATATATTGTAAAATTACATATATTTAAATATTATCATAAAATTCATTTTATTAAAAAATTATGCAAAATTATCGGAAAAAAATGAAACAAAATTTCATAAAATAAAATTCAACATTTATTCGAATCAATATATCACAAGTGTTTCGAATGCATTAAAATGCGTGATAATTATATAAAATATTAGAAAGATTACATAGCAATGATTTGCGATTAATATGCAGTTGAAATCATGTGAAAATATGTAATTTTGGTAGAGATATGGTTGTTTAAATGATTATGAAATTTGACAATTTTCAATATTCATGTGGGGTGGCTTGTGACTTACTGTAGGTGACTGTACATACATCCATGGATCTGAGGTAATTCGTATGAGTACATACATAGTTACCGTATGTAGCCTGTATTCGGCCATTTTCCGCTCCGTAGTTACCTCCGAGACTCCGACCGATCTACCTCGACTACCTCGACTCCCTTCCTAGTATTTATCTACATACCTACTATTCTGTACCATTTACTATCGGCACAATACACCTCCAGGCTATGCTACACGCGCTGCTATCCTCGACAATGCAAGCAGTTTTCCCTGGTGGTTTCTCTTACTGATTATGGCCTCCCGCGTGACAAAACGGCAGCGCACACTAACAAGCAATTCAGCAGGTACCGATAAAGCCCAAGTTGAACATGACAAGACTGGCTTTCAGCGGCCAATAGAACCTAACTCGTCTTTGGAATATAAACACGGCCGTGCTCCATCGCACTCAAACTTGCCTTCGTCACCTCAAATTGGCCCTTGCTCAGCAGTAGCCAGCGAGGATGCCACTGCCTCTTCTGCCCATTCTTCGGTGGATGAAGGGGGAACGCAAGCGCCCTCTACAGCTAATCAATTAACTCGCAGATCCCGAGAAACTGCTCCTAATGCAGAGCGATCTTTTCGGGTGCCTGAATCAACCTCCGCTAAATCTGGCGGCAGTGTTGATGAGGACATAGTCGATGATTATGACTCCTGCGAAGAATTATTCACTAAGCATTTCTCCGGCCAGAATCTCGCGGACAAGAAGTCCAAGTCGAAGCCATTCCATCACAGTGAGACCTCAAATGTCACGTCGATCCCAAATAGAAGCCGTTCGGAGAGATCCACGGCCCCCTCGAAACGCTTCATTCTGCCACCCGAGCCTACCGATAGGGATAATATTGCACTCTTCGATAACCGCGGCAATGGTAGTATACCTTGGGCGCAGCGATTCCAACCGCACAATCTAGAGGAACTAGCCGTCCACAAGAAGAAAGTGTCCGATGTGCGGCATTGGCTGGAAGCTTCTTTTATGGGGACTGATAGAAGTGTACGTCTTACTTGCTGCTCCACCTGTGTCTTTATTTGAATTCTTCCGACGCCTTTCCCCAAGTCGGACCATACGATCCTCATTAATGAAACAAGAGGCTTCTTGTTCTCCGGGGCCCTGCAGGCAGCGGTAAAACTACGACAATATCATTACTATCAAAAACGTTGAATTTTGACATACTAGAATGGAAGAATCCCCTGGTCTCTCAATCTCCGTCTAGGGGATCCGTGTCAGTTTCCTCCCAATTCGATGATTTTCTTGGGCGTTGTCATGACTTCAAAGGACTCGATCTGAGTGAAGATAGGGGTGTTCCTCAAGCTGGAGCGGGCGCTGACCCCGGTCGCCGTCCTCGACGCCTTGTTCTCATAGAGGAATTCCCTACTCTTTCAAATACATGGTCTTCCTCTCTTGCTGCTTTTAGACTTTCGCTCCACCGTTACCTTGCTATGGCAGTACCATCAACATTGAAACCTCATGGCCGGGGGCCAAACTACAACGAGGTCCCTCCAATAGTGATCATTGTATCGGAGGCGCTTCTGAATTTCTCGTCTGAAACTCTCACGGTCAATCGTTTACTCGGGCCTGAGGTTTGCAACCATAACCACACGACTATTATCGACTTCAACAGTATTGCTCCCACAATCATGCACAAGGCTCTCAAGGACGTTTTGCTGAAGCAGTCTCGCCACTCCAAAAATTTTCGATTTCCAAGGGCAGCCATGCTACACAATATCTCCAGGGTTGGAGACATTCGAAGTGCTATCTCTTCCTTGGAATTTCTTTGTCGAAGGACTGAAGGCATTGGGGAATCGGTAAAAAGAACCTCGAGGGCTTCAAAGAAACCTCAGGACTCGGGAGGATTGACGCCCACCGAAAAAGAAACCTTGAATTTGGTTACCCATAGAGAAGCCAGTCTAGGCATGTTCCATGCCGTTGGAAAGATTGTATACAATAAACGAGAGGACAAAAACATTGCAGCAGACGCTGGCAGTCTGGCTGCAACCCCCGACTGTCTCAGCCGCCATGACCGGGCAAAGGTACCTCAAGTTTCTGTCAATGAACTCGTTGATGCGACGGGAACCGATGTCCAAACGTTCATTTATGCCCTTCATGAAAACTATGTTCCGTCTTGTAACGGCTCTACTTTTACGGAATGCCTTGGTGGGTGCATAGAAGCCTTGTCTGATAGTGATGCTCTGTGCTTTAACCCTGATCGTACTCGCAAATCATGGGCGGGGTCTAGGACTGGTATCAGCGGCGGCAATGCCAGTACCGATGTGATTCGACAGCAGGATATCAGTTACCAGGTTGCTACTCGGGGTCTTTTATACTCACTTCCTTACCCCGTAAAGCGACAGGCGACAACGGATGGTCGAGCAAATGAGGCGCATAAACTGTCGTTCCCGGCATCATTGCGCCTATCATACGACACAGAGGAAGTGGAAAGTCTTTTGAACTTGTGGCTGAACAAAGTGCTTCATCAGTCCACTCAATCAACATCAGGGCGTCTGGGGGGGTTACACATTTCTCCTGGCCTGGGAAAGCACGATGGAGATAGTGCACAACGACCCGTCGTGACCATGGTGTCACGTAGTGACATGATACTTTACCAGCTGCCATATATGGCCAGAATGCCTCGGAACAAGCAATACTTGCCAGAGTTTAAAAAGCTTGTTGAATTGTCAGGAGGGAATTCAGGGTATGGGGCTCCGGATGATCGAGGCGGTATTCCCAATCCTCGTACGTCAACAATGCTCTCACATGAGGATGAGGAGGGTGGCCTTTTATTGAGCGACGAGGACATAGTTGATGATTAATCTATGTACACCCATGTATCGAAGTAACAGAAATACACAATATGAACAGATGTAAGATAGCGTACTGTATGTATGTACGGTACATACCACCTACCGTAGCGGACGGGGCCTCCTACGCCGTGCTCCGTCCCCGTAACATCCTACCTCTCCAGTTCTGTCCACTCTTCCAATATCTCTCTTTTGTACAGTACATCTGCCCCCGAGAGTCTCCTGGTTCCCATTCTCTCCCAGGGTTGCCGGTCCTCGTCTATTTGCAACATCCCGCTTCTCTTTCCCAGTTTTGGCAACCATCCGAAAACCATGTCGGCGGGCAATCGCATCACACGGAGACAGAGGGTCGACAACTCCAACGGCAGGACTGGCAATAGAGATGCTGTCTCCGCCAAGTTCCGGGCAGCAGAGGAGCTTTCCAGTGAGATTGAAGATTCAAGAGATAAAAATGAGGGCCGAAGAGAAGCCAGGCCAAGCTTGGGCGGTATCATAAGCGCTATAACACTTGTGAACTTCCCCGACTGGACGAATATAGTTCTCATGGTTTCTCTGATATTCGGCGGCTGCTGTGCTAACGTGGGTTCCACTTGTGTACATGAAGTAGTCAAACAGTAGTAGGATGCTAATGACCTAAATCAGGTATTTGCCCTGGAGGCCATTGTCAAGTGAGTTATATTTGCAACTCAACGCGCACCACCGTTATTAACTTACTAATGTGTTTCTAGAGATCAGCCTTCGTCAGGTATACACAGTCTCAACCCCTTTAGATTCGATACTATCTTGACGGTTGACTTCTTTTGTTTGAAGGTCCTTTAATAACTTTTGCTCAGTTTATACTGACTGCACTGTTTACCTTGCCTAGTTTTATGTCGCTATCTGCTGGGCCCCGATCCTTATTTCTTGGTCCGAGGGCTATCCCCTTGAGGTCGTGGTTTATATATACGGCCTTCTTTGTGACCGTGAATCTTCTCAACAATTGGGCCTTTGCTTACAAAATCTCCGTGCCATTGCATATAATACTCAGATCTGGGGGGCCGGTTGCATCTATGATTGTTGGTTATCTCTTCAATTCCAAACGATATTCACAGGGCCAAGTCATATCCGTGGTGATGCTTACTCTGGGCGTTGTCACTGCAGCATTAGCAGATGCTCATGCTAAGGGCCAGTCTATTGGGATCGGAAACGAAGACAGTGACGTCAAGTTCACTAGAACCTTGATCGGTTTCACCATCCTTGCTCTTGCAATGATCCTCTCTGCTTTCCAGGGGATTTATGCAGACCGTTTGTACGAAAGTTACGGTAGGAGCCATTGGAAAGAGGCTCTATTTTACTCGCATACGCTTTCGTTGCCACTTTTCATACCAACATATTCGCATCTGCTGAGTCAATGGCATGCCCTCTTCTTATCACCCCCGTTGCTTTCCAGAGCGACCACGTTTATGGCAGAGGGTGGCCCTTCAAATTCCACCCTCTACAAAGTCGGAAATCTTGCTGCTACAACATTGCCTTTCGGAACCAGCGCAGGACCCTTTCTAGGGGCTCTTAGAGACTCTCACCTAATTCCATTCTTGGCTTTGGTTCCAATACGGATGGTCTACCTCCTGATGAATGCATTGACGCAATATCTTTGCATTCGTGGGGTTCATTACCTCTCGGCAAAATCGTCTTCCTTAACTGTTACTATAGTACTGAACATTCGAAAATTGCTCTCGCTTGTATTGTCAATCTATCTGTTTGGCAATGAGCTTGCGTTGGGTGTGCTCATCGGTGGCCTTCTTGTCTTCTCAGGGGGCGCATTGTATGGCTTCGAGGGTGCGCGGCTGAGAAACATCAAAAATAATTAGCATTGTTCTGAATCTCGGCTCATATAACAATCTTCCCGGTCTTTGTATTCGGCCTTGGTGAGCGCCAGGCTTAGCCGTCGAGCTCGTCATATACAAGGGCTAATTATGAGTCTTGGTCGCGATTTCAGCGAGCATATTCAACAAAGAGCTGTCCTGGTCCTTTGGGACCACGCTACAACAAATCGCCATCCAGCTACCTTTACTAGAAAAGATCCTCGAATTTCGCCTGGCAGCTTATATTGATACATAAAGCTATCTGATTCACATCCTTCGCAAATAGATGATGTTCTAGTATAGTTACAGGGGTACCCATGGGTCCATATAAATGGTGATACCTTCATTGAGGGCCTAACCGGTCTGGCGCGGCTTGTAGAACTACAAGACTTCACCCACTATTCTGGCTGCTTCCTTGTAGGTGTCCAAAAGCTTTTCGCACTTCTCCCTTTCCGCTTTGATACCGTCATCCTCGTAAAGCAATTCTCCAAACAGATCTTCCTTGTAAAGTTCACTCACTAGCCTGTTTTGCACTACATCCTTGCTATGATTGACAAGAAGATGCATGATAGCTTTTGGGACCTGGTCGGCAATCGTTTCTCTTACGATGTTGAAATACGAAGATATCAGCCGGCGGATCAATTCAGTCTCCAAGAGTTCGCGATCAGAAAGAGCCGGCTCGGAATTCTCCTTTCCAAGAAATAATTGGTTAGCCATCATGACATACAAAACAGTTGGCGATAGTTGTATCTTACCAGCGAGTGAGGTTCACCACCGTATTCCGGTAGAGGTGCAAAATCTTCTGGAGGCATAACTGGGGAGCGTATTTCGGTACGTCGGATGTTTTGGATGTGGCTGGAGTCCGTTTGATGGTGATGTTGCTTGCTATGGGTCGGGGGCTGAGAAATCGCACTAGGAGACTGTGTGCCATCCTTGCCAAAGAAGTAATTGAGGAAGGAATCACGAGTCGAGTTAGTAGCTCCAAAAACGGCGTGAGGGCTCGAGTGTACACCATTCAAGGTTGCGGCAATACCACTTTCATGTGGCTTGTTCAGATGAGGAGATTGGCTTCTTGTCCCTCTTGAGGACTGGTTTTTGGATGGGACACTTTGCATTTTCCCATCAACCTGTTGCTGCTCTTCATCCTCCGGCGATGCGGATGAACCGCCATTAAGACCTCCTAGTTCCTTCAACCGCCGTTTCTCCCTTTTCTTTCTATCCTCGGCCAATGCAGCCCTACGTTCCTCTTCCTGTTTGTTTTGGATTATGGAAGACATCGCTGCTGCGGCTCCAAGAAAGTTCGGATGGTTCGTGTTGATGTAGGCCCTTTGAATGGATATCAGAGATTCCACGTATGCTGAGCAGGGCCCTAGGCGTTCACGGAGAAGATCAGAAACAACTTCGATGAGTTTTCCTTGAAGGCGAGGGAATCGTAGAAGTTCCTGTGAGCCACAGGTATGACAAATCTTGATGAGCTCCTCGTAGACAAGCTCCACACACCGCTGACTAGGGGCTTCCAGCATTTTGATTTGGGGCTTCACGAGCAAATCGAACGCAAGCTCTGGGACAAACAAACTGGGTCTAGGTCCAGTTGAATTTCGGATTGCGGTTCTGATATCGGGCACGGATAGATTGTGGATTGGGTCGATCGTTTCAAGTGAATTGCCAAATACCGAATTAAAGATGTAGTAGATTCTGGCCCCTCCGCAAAGTTCCTTCGTAGAAATCTCAGAGGAAGTCCCGTCAATTGAAGATATGAAGGATGAGGCGAAACGAGTCATCAATTGTAGTATCAGGGACCCACGATGCTCCTTTCCGCTGAATTGTTTATTACCGTAGCTGGCGAGTTCCTGCTGTGTTTGTCCCATGAGAGTATTCAAACGCGCTTTAATGTCAGGCAAGCGATCACGAATGTGAGCCATCAAAGTGGTGTTCAGTGTTTTCGCGAGGTACTGTGTCCCACACCGATTGGCCATATTCCGGTAAGCAGGGTGATGTCGGAAGAATTCTACCTCAGCTTGCAACGCATCGGACAGCGACTTCCCGGATTGAATATCTTGCTGTGATCGATTGACGACTCCGATGAACCCAAGTTTCAAAGGGTAGACACGGCCAGACAAGATATCCATAGCGTTGGTGCCATGGTCCATCAAGTCCAACTTCGTCAATACCCCGATGGTTCTCCGGCCCATGGGGTCCACCTGGCGGGCAAGTTTGAGCGCTTCGGAGTTCACAAGGTCAACATTGGCCGGGGAAACCGCTAGAATTATACTGTTTGGCTTTGCGATGTATTCCAATATTAAGGCTCGGGTCTGCTTCTCGATATCTGACGGCTGATCCCCGATAGGAACCTTCGTTAGTCCCGGCAGGTCAACCATAGTAAGATTGAGCACATGAGGCGAGAATATTTTCAGGTTAATCGGCTGTCTGTTGATGCCTTTGTTGCTTCCAGCTATCCGCGCTGTCTCGGCTTCGATTTCTTGCTTCACGAGAGCGAAGTCTTCAAACTTTCGACCAGGAATATGATGAAACTCTCCCCACTCATGCTGTCCAGCCACACTAGCAGCTGTGTGAGGCACGTGGATTTCATCGCTGTCGGGTTTGTCATGGCGCTCGCTAGGGATATTTATGAGTTGAAGGATCAAAGGCCGTCTAGTAACAATACCACTCCCTCTCGGCAAGAAGTCTCTTCCGACAATGTTCTCGAGCACAGACGATTTACCAGATGATTGGGAGCCTACCACAACCTGAAGTGTGAGTTAGCATGAGCTGGCCGAACTCTTCATTAGACGTCGCAGGAAAAGACTTGCAATTTGAGGTAAATCGAGAGAATCGTTGCCAATCGTATTGAAAACAAGATCTTGTAGTTTGTTGACAGTCACGAGCAGATCCTCACTCAATGACGCCATATTGGTCAAGAAATGATGGTTGGATCTAAAGCTCGCGAAGATAAACGGGGTTTATGGGAATATATAGTGGAATTATAGGGCTGGTTTCGATCGGCAAGAAAGCGAAAAAGAAAGAATGTTTGTAGGAAGCAAGGGAAAATGGTTTTCAGGTTGGAAGACACCCTTGGTTATCCTGCATGTAGCATGAATAATGTTGTTCCATGCATTAGTGCTCGCCTTGCGTCTTTTCAGATTGGAGTTAAAGATGGAATCCCGAAGATCATGTGACATTCCGGGCACGTGTAGTTCACTTACATAATCATACTGCTACCAGACCTAACTACAGGTAGTTAACTTAAACCAACTTACATGTACGTACAGGCCTGCAGAAGTAATGTTGAATTATAACCCAACCTGCTTCGAAAACTACCTACCTACCTACTCCCTATTTAGTGTTCATTTTCTTGTTCTCTTCGGACTGATTCCGGTCCATCCCTTCATTTTCTGGCTGCTCCTATTGTATACGCAAATGGTCTAATTACAGAAATCGGTTTGACTTTAGCGGGCATCACTCGCTGCCCAACAAGCTATGCCAACCATTTGATCTTGATGTGAACTGTATTTGTGAATGACAACAGCTACACTACAATGTGACGAGTCCCACAACCTCATTTCGCAATTTGAACGTAATTGGCAGGGAAAAGTCCCTTTTTGCCGTGGAACTCACCAAACCACCAATCGTCATCCGGGAATTCCTAAAGCCATAATTAATAACAGTTAATTGGAACAACAAATCGGACAAGAAGGGGGGCCATGGATAATAATGGACTCAATATGTGGACGCGAAACGGAATATAACTTACAATGTTGGTAATTTGAGCGCCTTCAGGGAAACTAAGTTCGTTGTCCTCTGCAGCCTCATAATCATACAATGCCACTGCACTCGGTGCAAGAGTTGAATGGGCCACGGAAGGCACGGCCGCAGTCGAATCAGTATTTGAGACCGACTTATCTGCACCATGTATGTCTTGGACATCCGATGGGTTGTCGCTCTGCTGGCCATGCTCAACAATTTCGACGTAATTGCTTGGGAAAAGACCTCTTTCGCCGCGGACATTAGACCCCAGCCACCAGTCCTTATCAACCATGTCGATATCTACAACGTGTTCTCCCTCGCGAAGTTCAAGCTCATTATCCTCTGCCTTGTCATAATCGTACTGGGCAATGGCCTGGATGCCTTCTTTGTGATGAAGGTTCTCCGGAGGTGCTTGGCTTCTTCCCTGGGCGACATCTTGCAAATCATCCTCAGGAGCATATTGATTCGAGGTGGTATGCTGTATCTCGTCTGGTTGACTGACGGAAGAATTGACACCTTGTTCGGCCTGGGGTTCGGTCGCTTCTCTGCTAACTGGCATAGCAACACGAATGGGCGAGGCTTCGCGTGCCGGAGGGGATGGGCTGCGGGGACTGGCTTGCTCAGGTGTCTCGGGAACAAGTTGATCATTGTCGGGATTATGTGCCTGTTGCTGAACAGGCTCGGACACCAGTTCGGGAGCGGGTATGGGACGCTTTGCCTCTTGAACGGGGCTAGGATCTTGTTCCACCGACTCTACGGCAGTATCGACGTGAGAAGCAGCAGCAGCAGCAGTAGTATCTTCTTGTTGCAGGAAAGACCGAGGTTCTGTTTCAAAACTGTCGCCTCTGTTCACCGCAGCATCATGAGAGGTACTATTGCCGACGGTCTGTCCGGCATGCATTGTCTGGACAGCATCAGAAGGCTTGACGCTAGAGGAACTTTTCCATTCCTCATTCCCACCAGTCTCTCTGTTCACAGGAGTTTCGTAGGCGGAATCCTCGCCACGCTCTCTGGCCTTCTTTTCTGCCCAGAGTTGGGCGGGGGTTTTCCCTCCTTGGTCGGCAAATGTTCTGCTTGCTCCATGCAATGGTGACGAGGTTGGTTTTGACATGGAATCATTGGGAAGAGGTGGCCTCGTTCCGGTAAATGCTGGTGTGGTCCCAAATTTGTTTGAAACCTTGGGCTTCGGCAAGCTGGTAAGCCTCTCAGAATTTTGTTCAGAGAGTGCTTTGGGGGTAACAATAGGGGGATTCGATGGTGTAGTGAATTTGTTATCGGACGCCACAGTGTGTTCTTTCGGGGTTTGCGCCTTGGAACGAATTGCAGCGATGTCAACCTTTCCAACGGGCTCATAGGCGCCTTTGACCGGCTCTGGACGGTCATCCTGGAGATTTCCGGTCTCGCGGGCTTGTCTCCTTATAGCCGCGATGTCTACTTTTCCCACAGGCTGATAGCCGCCCTTGACAACGTTGCTAGAGTTGGCAGTAGCGGGGCCGGCGCCTCCGCTAGTAGCTTCTTTCTCTGATTTAAGCTCGTCCATATTAACTTTGGTGGGCTTATAGGCTGGTTGAACCTTTTCGAGTTGCGTTCGTGTGACCGGAGGTGCATCAGGGCCCCAACCATCATCTGAGTTTATCCTGTCTGTCAGACCACGCAGTGGGACAGCTGGTGTCTTGTTCAGGGCAGTGCCACCTGATCGAGACGGTGTGAAGACAGGCTTGGTGGATACCGGTGGTTTCGGAGTGGTAGAGATTGATTGATCATTCTCCGAGGTGTATTTGGCACCCGACGCATCGCTGACTTTCTTAACGATTCCTTCGACGGTCAAATCGGCATCCGAGCGCGCCGTTATCTGGACATGATAGCCCTGGGAGACGCGCTGTTAGTAAGGTGATAGATTCGAAATGTCAACACTAGAACAGCTTACATGTAGAAATTTTGAGACTGCAGAGAGGTGACTTGTGAAGTAGCCTTTAGTTCTCTCGGGGACCCCCTCCCCACACCATGCAATAAGCACGTTCTTGGGTAGTCCCGTATTGGGATCTGTCACCTTAGCAAAGGCGAACTGGATCTTGCCCTCGGAAAACTCATCGATGAGGTCCACCAATTCACCCTCTTGACATAATTACATTAGTTGTTCATCTCCGGCATTAGGCTGCTTAGAGTTACGGGGGGGAATTCGGCACTTACCTCCAGAGTTCTGAACTTTTAGAACACTCTCTTTGTTGCCCGCATCTGGCTGGAAGGCGTTGATAAGGGGAGTAGAGACTGAAAATACGGCCCACTGGCTATATGTCGGAGAACTTGCTGGAAGAGACGAGTTGACCACAGTTTGATAACTCTTGGATATGGAGGGCCCATTCGACGACAAGTTGAGTGTTGTCATGTTGCCAACTTGAAGCGTGGGATTTGATGATATGAATGTATGAGCGCCTAGAGCAACCTATAGATTGGTTGTGGATTGTAGGGTTGGAGACAGTCGGACGGTTCTCACTGTTGGGCAAAAGATAAAGCACGATGTTGCAATGGCCTGTTGTGTACGGAGTATGCTATGATTGATTTCAGTCTGCCTAACGGAACACCTAACTAGCAGTTAGTTAGCTAGTTACGTAGCAGCTAGTATGTCTTACCTAATATGACCGCGCGTATCTAACTTACTCCCGTGTCCGAGCCGAGTTTGGTTTAGGTTTTGATTGTTCTTGTATGATCCCGAAGGAAAAAAAGAAGGAAAGGGGAGGGGGCGAACCAGATAGGAGCAAGGTCGAATGAGTCAGTTGATCGGGGGGTTGAAGGGAAGAATGCATGAATGCCTCTTTGCATACCTACGTATGTGTATGTACCACCTGTACGGTATACCTAGGTGACAGATACATGTCCATCCATCCATCGATATGTACACCGTATGTACATACTAGGTAGGCGGTCGACTGACAAAAAATTTGACCGCTTTCTATGTGGTTACAGCTACACCGGCGCAATAATAACGAACAATAACCCCGAGGGCCTTGGCAAGACACTGCTCCCAGCTTGGTGCCAACTGCCAACGCAAGCTCAGGCCTTGTTACAATCTTCTCGACAAATCCCGGTGCTCCCCGCGATGACGCTTGAGAATGATGAACTCGAAAATGCGCCTAGTACCTCAAATATCCCGGAAGTGGGAGACTCACCTTCCGGAGAGATTCTCCCAAGGGATAGGCAGCTGAAAACTCCAACCTACGATTACGCTTATGAAAAATCAATGAGTCACGCTGAAGCAAAGCTTTTTTACCAACAGCACCAGTTTGCCTCTCGGGGTGCTGATGGTGAACATTCCCAGGTCGCGGTGCCTCCAGGTTCTCTTCCCTCAGCTTCGCAAGCAGACGATGCGACATGTGACAGTCCAGCTCTCAAGCATAATGACAGTTCAAGTCACTTGATTCATGCCGATACTACTGATTTGGCTGGGCAGCACTCGACTGGCGATCAGTGGAGTTCATTCTCGGATACGCAGGGTGTCGATTTACATGAAAAGTATTCAGAGAACATCATTTCCAGCACGGAGCAATTTCCCAGACCTCATACAATGTCTCATGAGGGTTCTGGTGATTTTGGAGCCAATGCTCTCGGAACAGATGCGACCCGCCCTATATACGAAGGACTGGGAACCATGGAAAGCATGGTGAATATTACATCAAACAGCAACACTGTGGCATCGGAACTGAATGTCATTTGCCGCAAAATTAAGGGCTTGCTGGAGCGACGGTCCCAGTATATTCAGCTGTCCTTGCAAAGTTCTCAGGATAACCCCAGAGACCGTCCTGGGTGGAATGTTTACCCACCTCCCCCAGAGCCGGCCTGGGAAAACGACAAAGACACTGGCAAATACAATGATCATACGCACACTGAGCAGAAAAGAAGAAAGATGGGCCAGGACGTTGGTGAAGATTTCGACATAGCCGACTGTCTGCCTCTGCCCGGGGAATCATCGTGGGTTTTCAAGTTGGATGAAAACAGCGTGTATCAAGTCTACGAAACCAACGTTGCCGTTGATTCAAGCCAACCGATTGTTGAAATCCCTTCGTTGCGGGATTTTTATATGGACCTTGATGCGATCATAGACGTATCCTCTGACGGGCCGGCAAAGAGCTTTGCTTTTAAACGACTCTCCTATTTGGAAGGGAAGTTTCAACTGTATACGCTATTGAATGAGTACCAAGAAATAGCCGATAGCAAGAAGGTTCCTCACAGGGATTTCTACAATGTCCGCAAGGTGGACACACATGTCCATCACTCGGCTTGTATGAATCAAAAGCACCTTCTTCGATTCATCAAAAGCAAGATGAAAAAGTCTCCTGATGAAGTTGTCTTATTCAGAGATGGAAAACACCTTACCCTAAAAGAAGTCTTTGAAAGTATCAACCTCACCGCATACGATTTGAGTATCGACACCCTTGACATGCACGTAAGTTGTTCATCTCTTGGCCGGTCACCTTGTAACTAAGAGCCTTGCAGGCGCACACCGATTCCTTCCATCGTTTTGATAAGTTCAACCTGAAGTATAACCCGGTGGGCGAATCCAGATTAAGGGAAATCTTTCTCAAAACAGACAACTACATCAAAGGGAGATACTTGGCGGAGATAACCAAAGAAGTCATAGCCGACTTAGAATCAAGCAAGTATCAAATGGTGGAATGGCGCATCTCAATTTACGGGCGATCTATTCAGGAATGGGACAAACTTGCAGCGTGGGTGGTTGACAATAAGTTGTTTTCCCCGAATGTTCGCTGGCTTATCCAAGTTCCTCGACTCTATGACGTTTACAAATCGAGCGGTATGATGGAAAACTTCGAGCAAGTCATAACGAATGTCTTCCAGCCACTGTTCGAAGTGACGAAAGACCCCAGCAGCCATCCAAAACTCCACATATTTTTGCAGCGTGTTGTCGGATTTGACAGCGTCGACGATGAGAGCAAAGCGGAACGTCGGCTATACAGGAAGTATCCAATTCCAAAGGAGTGGAATACAAAGCAGAATCCACCGTATAGTTACTGGGTCTACTTCATGTTTGCAAACATTGCATCTCTGAACACATGGAGAAAGCAGCGTGGGTTTAACACGTTCGTGTTGAGACCACATTGTGGTGAAGCTGGCGATCCTGATCATCTTGCGGTTGGGTTTCTTTGCTGCCATAGCATTAGTCATGGCATTCTGCTTAGGAAGGTCCCTTTGCTCCAGTATCTCTTTTATTTGGATCGAATCGGAATCGCCATGTCGCCGCTCAGCAATAACGCCTTGTTTTTGACGTATGACAAAAATCCATGTGCTAATTTTTTCAGACGTGGCCTGAATGTATCATTGTCTACAGACGACCCGTTGCAATTCGCTTTTACGAAGGAACCATTGATTGAAGAGTATTCGGTGGCCGCGCAAATCTACAAGTTTAGCGCTGTGGACATGTGTGAACTTGCAAAGCATTCGGTCGAGCAGAGTGGTTTTGAATTATCGTTGAAGCAAAGATGGCTTGGTTCCAACTGCTCTTTACCCGGCGTTTCTGGGAATAATGTTGCCAAGAGCAATGTCCCGGATATCCGCGAGGAATTCCGACATGAAACGCTTGTTGGAGAACTACAGCTGTGAGCAACCCTTCGAAGATTAGGATGAAAGAAAATCCATTTGCTAACGCAACATTAGCATTGGGAAATATTCCCTGTCACCTTCGACTACGTCTTTTCCCGCAGACACTAAAAGCCTTTCAAAGGAAAAATTGCCGGAGGGTTACCCGCTTGCAGCTTCCCCGTGTATTCCCAAATCTCCGGTGTTATCTTTTAGCGCGCTCAAACCCTCCCTCAAAGCTTCTCACCCGACTGAACATGTATTAGCTGAGACTTCCGGTTCTACGCGTTCCCAAGATGGGAGTGGCCAGCCCGATATGCCAGGCACCGGTGCTCAGTCCGTGACGGTGACTGCAACCCGGCCAGATGCCTTTTCAGAACAGAAGATCTTCCCGGGTCTTGTGCACGAGAGGGTAAACAGAGGAAATGTTCCAAGTCAGCTGTACGAGGAAAGTGTTCAGCCTCACAGCGATGACTGCTCACACAATTGCTCGGATTAGTCCTAGGCGTATAAAAACAGCCTCCTGATACCAGGGTAAATTTGATATGATACCCTTGGAACCTTGCAAAGTGAAGAGAGCTATATGGAGGGCCATGATGCCCGGCAGATATTTGAATTTGGCAGCGAGCTGCCCAGCAGCCATTCATTCATTAGTAGCTATCAAGCGGGATAGGGGCAACGGGGATCAGCTTGGCAGATGTGACTACATATACCCTATGTTAGGAAGCCAGCATCCATAGAAATGTCACCCAGGTTAACCTAAACTGCCCAGCTTCCCCTCCTCTCGCGTACACCCCATTTCTCATGGTTGTCATCCTCTTCTGGAACACGTGGGCGTTCATTAACCCACTCGTGTATGTACAAGCGCAATGCATGCCATCGCCGGCAACTATTGCTTGTCTTGTCTCTCTTTATTCCCTGTTCTTCATTGAAAACAAACCCTTTGGCATCTGTGTCTATGTCATCTTGCCTGATTTCCGTTACAGAAATGCCAGAGACCTTGCTGAGTTCATGATCATAATAGCGAGCAACGCACGGGTATCCTAGCGATAAGTAGTTATAAATTTGGGTCACAAAATCATCGGAGGGGTAAGGTTCGGCATTCTCCTCATTCATGGCAGTACGTCGCAAGTCAAACTTTTCTGTCGTAGCTAGCGAATTTTCGGTCCCGAGATCTTCGAGTATGGATGTTGAGAACTTGTTGATGGGCACAGGTATGGTCTCTTGCATAGTGTTGTTGATTGGAACGTGCTTTATTTCAGCGCGTCTGTTATTCCGGCAGGTTCCCATCCAAAGACCTTCATTTGCACGGCCATTTTGATGCGGCAACGCATGCCAGAGACCAGGGTTGTTGTGGGTTATGTGAGTTGGTTCAACTGAACTACCACCTTCATATATTGTTGTCTCTGGTGATGAACTCTGGGGGAAAATGAGGTCGGTTCCAAGCATGGGTGGGCTCGCAAGGCGTGCATTCTCCACTGGTTTTCCGAGGATTTCAGCATTCATTGATCGGTCGTGACCAGCTGAGGGCCGATTCAAGGATTCTGACCGCGGACAGTTCGCATCGGTTCCAATCTTGAAGGATGGTTTTATTCCCGCCCTCTGTTTGTGACTCCGCAGGTATTCAAGCTCTGAGGATAGATCTGCGGCCGAATTTCGACGTGTATCCAAGTGATGCAGCTGCTCGGGGATAGGTAAGCCATCATCAGGTGCGCAGCCCTCCTCTTCATTATCAACAGCAAAGTGATCTACGGGCTGGTAGACCTGTTCATTTGGGAAGGCTGCTAGTGTTTGCTCTTTCAACTGACGTTCTGCTGCTTGTGCTGCGAGTGATAGTAAGTAACTTGAAATTTCTTCATCGCAACTCTCTCGACGAGCTTGATTGTTACTGGAACCTTCTCTGGCTAGCTTTCTCGATGGCGGGGGAGGTGAACCATCCAGTTCCGACTCGTCAGACGATCCACTGCAGCTTGATGGAATCGCAGGTAGGTCCGGGACCCGAAATGAGTGTCTTCTCGTCTCATAACGCCGCTGAAGGTTGTAATATGAAAACGAAGACTCAGGTGTCGTAGAGAAGTCATGTTTCTGTGAAATGCTGTTCATGTCGAGGCGCTGTAGGCTTTCCGATCGAGCTTGTAGTAGGCAGTTCGAAGCATTAAGTGAGCGTGACCCCCCTCGAACTGACCGGCTAGCAGTTTCCACAAGCATGGGCGTGAACTTTCTTCGTTGCCGTGTTTGGGACTCGTCTCGGGCCAATGTGTCTGGTTGACAACACGCTTGGCCCTTCCATGCCTGTCCTACTGTTCGGGAAGTACGCATCCCCATAGCATTTTGTCCCGGTACAATCTGGTTTCGTGTGCCTTGGTGTTTCTGCTCTGTGACATGTGCTAAATTCTCGGTTTCATTCGTGCCGGTCATGGAAGGTGACGTATGATGCTCTTGTTCCGCTGTGGGTACGTTGTGATTTGCAGTCAACTTGCTAGCTGTGTGATATTTTGGGCCCCTAAGGCGTTCAAGTGGGCGGTCTGTCGAGCTGCGTGAGGATGTCTCGATGGGTTCTGGCAAGAACCTTCGTGGTTTTTGTGGCGAATCCATCTCGTTGCGCATTGTGGTCCTCAAACCATGAGCGTGCTGAAGGGTATAGATTTGTTCAATTGGTCTAGTATGTCCACTCTCCCTTTTCGATAAGTGTGCTGCTTGCTTTCAGGTGGAATTCGCGGGGGTGTGGGGAGAAATACTATGTCTTGGATAAACACAATGTCAAAATGAGGGGGCCTGTTCTTGTCTCTGTGGATTGCGTTGAGGTTCCAGTCATATTATCTGGTTACTAATGATTAGTGCATTAGCTCAATCTGCTTGTGCCAGTGGTAATAGGACAGTAGCAGGAGCAGTAGGAGCAGGAGCAATAGTAGGAGCGGGAGTGGGAGCAGGAGCAGTACTAAGATAGTACCTTAGCAGCAGCTGTCCTTGGTGACTTACTAGATGTAAAAGTGTCCGATCTTAATGGACGGTGACTATACTTTACAAATATCGAAGTTCAATGACTGTAGTTAGTAAATAGGCTACGTATTCCTTCATGTTCATGAGTCGAAGAAACGGAGTATTTGCGCCAAGCTTTTAATGGCTACTCGGAACTGCTGCTGAGATTGTATCATAAATTGCCCCGTGACCGTCAAACACCCGCTTTTATCCTATGCAACATCACATCCTCGGTCCTTCGCACCCCCAATGCCACCTCCAACCAACCTTGTGGCCTTGCTAGATGCAATCAACGATATCTAGTAAATTTGACTGCAGCTGCCACCGGTGATGATCTACACGGCACATGCCTTGAGGGTTGAATGGAGTCAGCTTGAACCAAATAACCAACTGGGTTCCTGTCCGTCTTCGAATTCTGTGAGGACACCAGGTCGCCAGGTGCATGCTTGTCCTCCCTCGAATTAAGGCCGATTGCTATCCCACCACTCCGGTTCTCGAAGCGTCTTTTGAGCATGTACCAAAGAATCGACCTATACATCGTTACTTAACTTGTATCAGCCCTACGAAGACACTCCTAGTCGCTGCTTCAATCTTACTTATAGCCGCGATAGCTACTTTGATCTCACGACAAACAACCCCACCATAACATTCCGCTAGTTCAAGATGTCGTCCCCCTCGTCAACGACATCATCTCCAAACCCGACCAACTCAGACCACAGTGGAAGTGACAGTGGCTCAAGCCCTACAAGCTCACCTCTGTTGTTCTTCGTGGCTCTCGGATTTGGAGTTGTGTTCACTAATCTCTGGTATGTGCCCTGCCAACTCTTTCATGAATAGTTTGGGTTCTAAACTTTTGGTGAAGGATCATCGTTGGAGTGAAATATTGTTTTCGCTACAATCAACGCAATCGCCAGCTACGCAATGAGGAGACCGGCGAACCTATAGACTTGGTGGCCATACCTAGGCCGCACAGGCGAAGAAGGGAGAAGAAGTTAATGACCATGGATGAAGTTAATGATCGGTTTCCATTAATCAAGTATAAAGCGTGGAGGTCTTCACGCGCCGATGATGGCCTTCCAACAGCAGGTGGCATATCGGCATGGAGTAACACATCTCAGAGCCTAAAGGAAGGTGATATTAAATTATCGGTCACTGCAGGTGTGCCATGCTCCGAGATTAACCCGGAAGAGAGCCGCCACGATTTGTCCGCTTCACAGTCTGCCCTTGCAAAGTTTACGGAGCTGAAACAGCCTCGCCAAGAAGACAAAACGGAAAATGACCTGCAGGCTACAGGGCAGGAAATCTCCGATCCCAGTACAAGACCGAATGTCATCAACGCAGAGGCACCAGGGTACGAAAATAATTCTGAATGTCGTGGCCATGACATAGAGAACCAAATATGCACTTCAGCGCCCGTCGAGCTTTTACCTGACCCCGGCGACTCATGTGCGATTTGCCTTGACGTGATTGAGGAGGATGACGACATACGTGGGCTGACGTGCGGGCATGCTTTTCACGCCTCCTGTGTTGATCCGTGGTTGACTTGCCGTAAGGCTTGCTGCCCTTTATGCAAGGCTGATTACTATATTCCCAAATCCCGCTCTGATCCTTCTGTTCCGACAACAAATACAGAGCGTGTAGATCGCCGTACCGCTGGTCGGGTGCCGGCTGTCAACCCACCAGAAGCTGTGTTTATAGGAGGGCGCGCGGGCGCTAGCCGGGCTAGGGTCCCATTGGCAAATCGTCATCATTCACCTGGAGGGTCTAATCGGTCTCGCTCAGCAGTATGGCCTTTTTGGCGTTGGCAAAGTTCACATACTCGGGATGCGGGGGTGCCGTTCGAAACACAGGCAAATCATCGGGGGCAGCGGGGTTGGCGACCGAGGCTGTTTTTCCCTCGTTCATTCCAATTCCCTACTTTTTCGCATCCTAATCAAAGAAATGGCGCAACAGAGGACCACACGCCGGACGAGCTAGAATCAGGCACTGTTGGCCATACCGGATCTTAGCAGAATTCAGAGTATACGATCTATGACACGTTCTGCCATTAATTTTAATTAGTAAATATTGCCGTATAATTGACTACTAGGTATGCAAGGCTGATTATGGTTAATTGATTCTAATAGAATTTTGAGTGATGCAGGCAAGTGATACCGTGATTATCTTAGTTAATCTATTAGTAGAGTTCTCAGTTGATTGTGTTGGAACGAGGTACTAGAAGCAGTAAAATTGGTCAAAATTGCATAAGTTAAAGATTAATTCTTCTAATAATGATCTATCTATATCAGAAGAGGAGTCTCTTTAAATGAAACGTATCTTAAGATAGTTGTAAGGCTCTCACAAAATATACTGAATTATGGAAGCTTTCATAGATAATTTAACTGCAAATTAAATTATTATATAAAAATAACCATATTTTAATATTAATCTATTATATTAATTTTATTTTTAAAATGATATTTTGAAGTATTTATTATTGCACAGAAAATTGAATAATTGGATTATTCATAGTTTTAATAAATAATTAATAATTTGTATTAATTAAATTATTTAATAAAATATTCACTCAATTTTATGAATTAATATTTATATATGAATTTTTAAATTTATTGATGTAAGCAGTTTAAAAACGGTAAATTGACAATGTGATCAATTATTAGTAAGTAAATTGTTAAAGAAAGGAAAAACAGCTAAGTCAATCCATTCAAAGTAGCTGAATGTAAAGTTGGGTTCGGTTGTAAGGGGAAGCCCTGCAGAGGGATGGATTCTTATTCGGGCACTTGACTCCCTTAACTAGAAATATCAGATACGTCGGAATGATCTTAAATATACCACAGTTTAAATGTAAAAATAAGTATAAATATAATAAAAAAAGAAACATTTATTAATTGAAAAAAATTAATTATTTAATGTTTTGAATAATTAATTAATTGAATCATTATATAAAAAAGATATGTAATTATTAATTTTTATTATTTAAATTATTTGATCATATTATTGTTAAATTGATCAAATTATAAAAATTTTAAAAATTTTAATATTGTCATTTCAAAGATTTCTGATAACAAATTTGTTTTTTTAATAAAACAATTATTTTTAATTGTTAATTAAATATAATTATTTTGATATTTTGATATAAATGAAAAATGTTTTGTTAATTTTTTTAATCATAAATTTTAATTAATTTTAACTATTATATATTTTATAAGATTTCGAAGATTTTTTGAAATAATTGTAAAATGTGATTTTGGAAAAATTAAAATATAATAAAAAAAATTAAAATTTTTATATTATTTAATAATAATAAATAGAAACAAAATAATAATAATATAAATTTTTTTTATTTTATATTATTTATGTTGTTTTATTTTTGTCAAAAAAAATTAGAATTAAATTATTTTGATTATAAATAATATTTCAAATTACATACGAATATATTATATTAATTTGATTTGATTTAATTATTTTTAATCATTTTTATTTATTATTTTTGTTTAAAAAATAAAAATAATTTAATTCAACATAAATTAATATATTTTAAAATAAAAATATCAATGACCATTGTAATCATGAATTTTTAATTTAAAAAAATTTTATATAATTTGATATTAATTATTTAAAAAAAATTTATTTGATATAAAATTTTTTATTTTTTTTAAAAAATATAATAATCGAATGTTTTGTAAATATTTTTTTTGTTATTTTTTTGTTATTTTTTTTAAAATTTAATATTTTTCAAAAATCATATTAATGTCAATCAAAAATCAAAAAAATAAATTATTGTTATTTTTTATTTTTAAATTTAAATTTGAAATTGCATTTTTTCTATTTCAAAATTTTTTTAATATATTATCAATAATTCTATCAAATATTATAAAAATAATTTTAATATTTATTTGATAAATTATGATAAATTATTTTTTTATTTATTAAAAAAAATATTAACAATGTTTTGTGAATAAAAAAAAATATTTAATAAAATGTTTATTTGCATTTTTATTTTTGAATAAAATATAAATTTTTTTCAATTTTTTTATTATTAAAAAACAAGATTTCTGATTTTGTTTAAAATATTTGAAAAAATTATAAATTAAGATAATATTAAAAAACTTAAATTTAATTTAATAAAAAATTTAAATGTTTTTTTATTTAAAAAATTATTTTTTTATAAAAGAGTTTTAATTTTTTTATAATATTGTTTTTTTATTTAATTTTGAATTGTTTTTACAAAATCTAAAATAATGTTGTAAATATTTGAAAATATTTTAAAGAAAATCGAAAATTTTATACATATGTAAATATAATTTTATTGTTTGCATATGTTGCAAAAAAAACAAATATTTTATTTTTTTGTTAAAAATAACAAAAAAATAAAATGTTGTTTTGAATGTTAAAAAAAATTAAAGAAGATTTATAAAAACTTTTTATAAATTTATAAATTGTGAGAGCAATATCTGCTAATTGTGAAAAAAATGTTTTGAATAATTAAATTATAAAATTATAATATGTTTTGTTTAATTAATTTAAAATGTTTAAAATTGAATCTCGCGTCTTTGTTAAAAAAAATGAAAATATTATTTTTATAAAAAATCGATTGTGTTAATTCATTTTAAAAATATATTTAAGTTTGTTTATTTTTTATTCTAATTTAAAAAAAGATTTTGATCCGATTTTTGTTTCAATTATTGATATATTTGTAATTTTAAATATGTTATTAAAATCTTAATTTTATAAATAATAAAAAAAATATATTATTATTTTAAAATCGATTTGCAATCTTATTATTTATAATAAAATATCTTATAAAAAAAATATTATTTATGATATTTTTTAACTTTATTAAATTTTTATTATAAAATAACAATTTTTTATATTTTTGAATTTTTGCAAAAGTTTTGAAACATTTACAAAATTTAGTTTTAATTTTTATGAATTTTTATATTTTAAATATTTTAATCATTTGACCAAATAATATGATTTTTTGTAATGCATTTTATGATCGAAAATTTATTTTATTTTTTATTTTTTGTGTCACGGTGCAGACCTTGATGCCTGAGGCATCTTCTAACTATGACCCGGAAGGCCATATTATCCGTTCCGGGATTTGCATATCTTCTCGCTTGCTTGAAGATCCTGTTGTAACTCTTTGAGTTATATTTTGTCTATCAATCTGTATATAGCTTGACTCTGTAGTAATTCAAAGATACTGTGAGCTATTAATCTATCTGTTTGTCATCAGCTTTATCATCTTCGCCAGTCCGCATTTTGACATTACATAATTCCAATCTTTAGAGCTAGTGTCCGCCCGAAAATGACAGCTATCCCGAATCTCCCGTCTTTCCCGAACAATCCAGAAAAATTAGCCCAACATGTTGCTGAACATGTCTCGAAATAATATAACTATTGTGAAAAAATTCATTTTTATGCAATAAATGTCAATCAGGATCTCAATAAAAAAGAATTATTATTAGTTTTTCAGACTGAACAATTCCAGCAAAAGAAAATGAAAATGATCTATCAATTAATTGAAGTTATAAATGTCTATAATATGGTTCTTAAAGAAAAAGATCAAATTATAAAGAAACAAAATCAGATTATTCAAATAATTACATCGATAGTTAGCACTCTGATTCAAATCTTTAAATCATTTGTTAAAAAATTTTCAATTACTTCAACAAAAATATTTACATCAATCAATTCCGAATCTTCTATTTTTATTTATCTTTTCAAACGTCTGTCCGATTCCAATAAATTTGAAAATATTCAATCAGATTTCTGTTGTTTTATTTTTCAAATTAAAAAAAAAATGATTGTTAACCGCAACCGTTTTTCGATATCTCAAACTCGCATAGTTTACATTTTCAATTGTTTAAAAAAACTGTTCTATATCCAAATCTTATTATATATCAAAGACAAGATCTGTCAATTAAATAACTATATCAATATCTTGAAAATATTAGATCGAATCTATAGTGATCCAAATCGTATTTATAATGTCTAAATTGTTTTCTATAGCCTGTAGCAAAAAAAACAGAAGTTTTCTGTTTTTTTTGCTGAATTTCAACGTCTTGTTATAAAAAAAGAAATTGCTAAAAATGATCTCTCTATGCTTCTTGAGAAAGCTATAAATCAAAAATTAAAAGATATAATGATGTATCAAGAACTTTTTATTGACAATTATATTGATTTTGTTATTTTTTTGCAAAAATTTGAAAACTGCCGCAAACAATATATTCGAAATCAATCTTAAAAATTAATCTTTCATATTCAAAGTTCTTCATATCATTTTATCATCAAAAATCTTAAAAGCTTGTTTTGAAACGCCATTATTAAAACATCTAAATCTATTTTAATTATTTTTGATTTCAATACTATAGATCTTTTTTTCACACATCGCCCGTCTTCTAAATCCCGTGATTCAATCCGCAGAAAATAGAATGAAATTTTCGTTACAATTCTAGCCAACATTTTATTAAAAATTGTTTTGAGCCCGATAATCGCATTTACTAAATCAATTATATTGCTCGTCCTATCTCACTTTCTAAGATTGCTTTGTCTTTTAGAAAATGATTATCTGTTTTTATATTGCATTCTATATTCTAAAATCCGTCTGTATTTTTTCCAATTTAAGTCTTCTAGCCCCGCGTTATGCTCCAATCCGAACGATTATATTTCCCAGATCCGAGCGAACAGTTAAAAAAAATCAATTTAATTTAAGTCGCAACTAGACAAATCTTCTCACACAAGTATATCGAATATCTGAAACTGCTATTAAAGAATTTTCAATCAAAAAAAATTTCAAAAAATTAATTTATTAATTATTTTTATTATTTTAAATCCCGAACAAAACGAGATCGCTATCTATATTATATTTGACATTGATTGTTTTATATTTCGTATTATAAATAAAAATTAGATCGAAACCCATTATTTAATCTTATATTTTTTGAACAAACCTAAGCCTATAATGGATTTTGATGACTGTGAAAACGAAATTGACATTATTATTTATTATATTTGTATAATTCTAAAAATCCATGATCATGTCAAAAAAGATATCTCATTTTTAATTACTCAATTAACACATTTTTCTATTATTATTGATTTACCATAATTAAAGATTTATAATTCTCGCATAAAATTTATAGAACATACTCTTCAATTTTCTAATCTATATTGTTAAAAACATTGCAATATTCTAATTCAATCTGTTAAAATCCGAATCCTGCATGATATCTCTGTCCGAATCAGATTTATAAACCTGAAGGCTTCCAAATCTCTGAAAGATTAA